AATGCTTTCTTCTGTAAGTTCCCTTGGTTGCAGTGTTCTGTCACAGCTGTAGAAGTGTGACCAACACACAAGGACACCTTGGGGTATTGGGTACTGTAGAGCTCCAGTTTTTCTGAGCAGTGCCTGCAGATCTGGGACCCCAGCAACTCAAACCCCTAAACAAATAACCATGGGACACTGGTCTTTCAAATTCAGGAATCCTTGCCCATCTCGTCAGTATACCACGTTCACCTTCTTTAAAGCATTCTGATTAGGCCAGCTGATTTCGGATGAGCCCAACTCTATTTGACTATATTTTTTTCTGTCCTCAAACTTAGCTAGTGGTCCTTTAACAATAAACCTAAATAACCTAGTTTTAAAAAATGACCAAAAGACAGAGACATTTGTTGAATGATGTAGACCAGTGGATGACAAGTGTACAAGAAGGTCTTCAACACCACTCATCCTTAGAGAGATGTACATTGAAGCCATGTGTGGTGGTTTGAATAGGTATGGCCCCTACAGACTCATGTGTTTGAATGCTTGGTCCACAGGGAGTGACACTATTAGGAGGTGTGGCCTTGTTGGAGGAAGTGTGTCACTGTGAGGGCAGGCTTTGAGGTCTCATATGCTCAAGCTATACCCAGTGTGGCTTCCAGACTCCTTCTGCTGTCTGTGGATCAAGATGTAGAACTCTCAGCTCCCTTTCCAGCACCATGTATGCCTGCATGCTGCCAAGTCCTGCCATGACAATGGATTAAACCTCTGAACCTGTAAGCCAGCCTTGATTAAATGTTTTCATTTATATGAGTTGCCATGGTCATTGTGTCTCTTCATAGCAATAGAAACCCTAACTAAGACACCATGTGAAACAATAATTTATACGCAGAATGGAGGGGAAAAAGGAGAGAGAGAGAAGGGGAAGGAAGAATTGGTAAAGATGTAATTGTAACATCATGTCCCATTTGGTAAGAATGCATAGGCCTGGTGCAGAAAACACCACCACCCTTCAAAAACTAAAAATCAGAATCTCCTGACTTTGGCAGTTGCCTTTCTGGGGACATTTTCATAAAGACTGAAACAGGGTTTTGAAGAGCTACTTATATATTCAACGTACAGCAGTAATGTCCATCATAGCCAAGTGTGGGAGTACTCTTTAAAGCCACAGGCAAGAGTAATAGAAAACCAGAAGGTGAAACTGTACTCAGCCCCGAGGAAGAGAATACTGCTACATGCTACAGCAAGGTAAGCATTGAAGATGTTACAGGTGATGTAGGCAGCTTGTGAAAAGACAAACCTTACAGGAGCCTATTAGCTTTTTCGTTGCTGTGACAGGATGCTTGACGCAGTTGATCTGGACTACAGGTTCAGAGGGTTCCATCCCTAGCTCTTGGCTCCATTTATTCCACGCCTGCAGTAAAGACAAACATCATGGCAGAGGGAGTCTGTGAAGGAGGAGCCTTCCAGAGGTAACTCATGATGGAAAGCAGAAGGGGTGGGGGGAAGGGGAGGGATAGGGGAAGAGTAAGAGAGGAGATAAATAGAAAGAGACCAAAGACAAAATAATCTTTCTTAAGGGCTCACCCCTATCCACAATGATCCACTTCCTCCAGCTAGGTTCCACCTGCAGAAATTTCCAGAACTTTCCCTATACCACTACCAGCTGGGGGAGGGGAGCACATGAGTCTTTGGGAGACATTTTATGTTGAAACCACAGTAATGGGGAATTTAGATTAGTCAAATTTACAGATTCAAAGTAGTACGGGGGGGGGTAACCTGGAGAGTGGGGGGATGGAAACTGGAGATGGGATTCCACAGACATAGAGTCTCAGATTTCAATTCTGGACATGGGTTGTGTGACAAGCATGTATGTAATACTGTACACTTAAACATGGTTGGGATGAGAAATTTATGTCAAGTCCCCTTAACTACAATTAAAAACAACAACAACAACAAAAGCAGCTGCTGTTGTTCCTGCCTTCTCTGGCCAGCCCAGCATGTGAAATACACTTTCTTCTCAGAACTCCTTGAAGTGATTACTCTTTAGGCAGCTGGGCCAGTACTCCAACCGGTTTCTTCTTTGTGTGACATTTGAGATTCCTTTTTGACAAGGCGTTTGAAGGCAGGGATAAAATCTTTACCTCTTTATTTCCCGCCCCCATGACACCTCACACTGTCTCAAGTCTAATAACAGTTCAATTAATATCTGCTGACTGGATCGTCACTTCTCTTGATGTGTTTTGGTCTTCAAGCTGGCGGGTGATGGATGGAAGAGCGAACGCAGGCTAAGGAGAAGGGCATGAGGGGAGCGGCCGCCTGGCTGCCAGTTTATTTTCCGCGCGTTGCCTGTGAACTGTCTAGGCAGCTACATCCCTCTGTGGGCAAACCTACTCATACCCGCATTGTTTTCACTGGTACATAGTTGGAGGGGGGTGCCGTGAGGGCTTGAATTAGATTAGTTGTAAGAGAATGGCAGGGTGGCCTCCGCAAAATTTGAGGCTGAAAAAGTCGGTGGACATTAAGCGAACCCGCCTGAGACATGTACCTACTCTGGAAAACAGGGCTGTGACTCCCCTCAGCCATCTAGCTCAGTGTCTTACAGATCTTCTGCCAGGAAGCTGTCCTCCTGACCTCTCCCCCCCACATCCCCTCCCACCTCCGTGTAAACTTCTCGGCTAGAATGGAGAACATTCTCTTGTCACCTTATCCCTTGTGACCTCTTTTAAAAATTGGACTGTAACAGAATAAAGATCCCTCCCGTAAGGTAACTGTAATTTTCCTCTTTGTAGGGTGGTTCCTCTGTTAAATTAATTGTCTGGTTCTCTTGAAAAGCAATCTTTTCCCCCAGTTCATGTTCCGTTTTTGACCTAACATGGCCATTCTTGGCCTTTTGAATGGGATTTGCTTCTGGTCGGGAATTGCATTTCCATAGCAACGCTGGCAGCCATCTTAAAAGTACTCCTCCCCTCCACCTCCCAGCCCGACTTTAACATTCTGTCTTCACTCTCACGCAGACAGGTAGCTTGCCTGAGCATAAGTCATGGGTGTATTTATTCTTATTTAGGAGGGTAGACAGCAGCAATGGCAACTCAGACCCCTGACAAGATGAAGAAAATCTCACAAACGGAGAAGGTGCTCTCTCTTTCTGGGGGCCCCAGGATGCTGCTTACTTTTGAGCCTCACGGTCTTTTTTTTTTTTTTTTTTTTTTTTTTTACAAACTTGGGGTTGGAGGTTTTCATCTTATGTCTGAGTCGCCCAGATCTTTTTCTCTAAGCAGGGTACCCCACCAAGCTAGAAGCAAGAGAAAGGCAGGTAGGTATGCTTGCTTTGAGGGATCTGTGTGTTTCAAGTTTGTTACTTATGGCTGTTTATGAGTAAACCATAAGAAGTGTGAAGTTTTTAAAAATTTAAAAATATACCCCTCAGTCCCCTGTTAGTGACTCTGAAGGATCTCTCTTGTGCACAGAATTAAGTTCAAATTCTGCCACAATCTGTTGGTTTCTGCCTGTCTCAACTTACCCACACTCCTGTGCCCTTCCATCCCCTCAGAGAGGTGATGAGCTCTCACCAGACGTCCCACCCTTGATGCTGATGCTGCCTTCCTGTACCCTCTACTGAAATCCTTCTCCATCCTCAAAGTGAGTTTTCTCAGCTGGCACGTAAAGTTGCAGAATCCATAGCCGTCTGGGGGGTGGCAGGTGGACCTGGGGCCACCGGAAAGCCATCCAGGCCAGTCTGTCCACTTAAGTCTGCATTGTTTGTCTCAGTGACCAGCTGGGGGCATTTTTAGGAGTGCCATGTTATAAAGAGGTTGGAAGCTCCTCTTTAAGGGCCCAGCTACGTCCTCCACAAGTCTCTCCTCCCCTCCAGCCAGCAGGCTTGATCTCTCCCGTAGGCACCTTCTCCAATCCATTAATCTGGGCAATCCACGTGTCCTCATCTTCAGTATTTACCATTTCTCCTACACATAACACTGCCCCCCCCAAGTCCACTCAACCCCCTCCATCCCCACCCCCCAGAGACTGACAGCTCTTTAGCAATTCCCTTAGTGTGTAGTTACACCGAACAGACTAGAACCACCCTTTCTTGTGTGAAACTGGGTCACCTTAAACGCGTGTTGATTTGAATTTCAACCATGGGTGGTCTTCTCAGAGGAGTTCCCTTGACACTCTGTTCTGATTCCACTGACCCTGCCACTCTTCAAACCGCTTCTGGAATTTCTCCGCTGGAACTGTTTTCAGAAGATCTATGAGCTGAGGAATAAAATGAGTCTCTTCTCTTTAGACTCAAACAACGTGTACTTAATTCTCATTTTGTTGTCATTGTTAGTCAACAAATATTTATTGAGCTCCAGGCACAAGGTTGTTTTCTTAAAAATTTAATATAAACTACTTGTCTACCTTATTGGCAAGATTTGGCTCTAAATAAGTTTGGTCTTTTTCCAGAAATCAAATCTACTCTCAGAACATTAAAGATTTACTATCTCGGAGCAGATTCACAACAAGGGAAACAAAGAAGGCAGAATTGCAGAAAAGGATGCAGACCTGTGACGATGGTGGAAGCAGCCCCAGCACTGGCATGAGGGACTTCTCAAAGTCCACCCTGCAAGGGACAGCAAGGCCAGGATGGTGAGCGTTGGCGCTGGCGGTGTGCCAGTTGCATCGCCGCTGCTGTGACCCATCACCTATGAAAGCAACTGAACAGGAGGTGGGTTTATTTTGGCTGGTGGTTTGAGGAGACACAGCGCCTCATGGCGCAGTAAGGCAAGGCAGTGGGAATATTAGGCAGCTGGTCCCATCATACTCAGTTGGAAATGGATGCTGATGCTCCACTCCGTTCCTCCTTTTGTCTTCTTAGACACTTCAGGATCCCAGCCCATGAGAGGGTGCTACAGTTAAACTTCTCTGGAAACACCCTGACAGACCCATCCAGAGGTGTATCTCCTAGGTGACTCTAAATCCCTTTGGCAAAGATTAACCGCCACAGGGGTGTTTGTTAAGATTCGTTCTCCTGGGCTTAAGTGGCCCTTTGCATAGGTAGGTATCATTCAAAGGACTGTGGAGCACTGTGTTCTGAGCTTTCAAGAGCGTTTGTCCAAAACCAAAACAAAACAAAACAAAAAAAAAAAGGAATTTTCTCTAGGATTCTGTTGATACCCAAGAATACCTCTGACCCTGTGAATCTGTGTAGTGTGTGCTTGAGATTATGCTATTTGTATGCCATAGCATTCATCTGTGTCCTGGCTTTGCTGCTTGGTGGGGATGTCTTGGGGTTCACTTTGATCCCCTGTCTCATGGAAGGCTGCTGTGTACTTTGTAGAGCTGCTGGCTCCGACACATACCTATTCTGATTCCAAAGCTTCCACAAACATTTTGGATTATTATCGCTTCCCCAGGAGAATGGAGGGTGAGGTAAGTACTCCTGCCTGCAAGCTTCTGGAGACTGGGACTGTGGAGTGGCATTTGAGACATTCCGAGCCCTCCAAAGGGAACAGGAGAGCTGGCTGGTGAAATGTTGCGGCTGCATCTCAGGAAGGATGCTGACTGAGACTGGTGTATCCCGCAGGATGGATGAATGAACAAGACTGAGGAATCATTCCTGGAGAAGGGGCCTAGTTTGGCAGAATCTATTGCTGTGATTTGGATCTCAAATGTCTCCCCAAAGCCCATGTGTTGAAAGTTTGTATCTCTGTTGGAAGATGGTGGAACCTTCAGGAAGTGGGGTCCAGTGGGAGATCCCCATTAGGTCACCGAGGGCAGCCCTTGAAGCAGATATTGAGACCCTGGTTCCTCTATCTTGCATCCCAGCTGATATGAAGTGAGCTGCTCGCTCCACCTTGTGCTCCCAACACAGCCACTCCACCCCCCAAATCAAAAGAGCCTACTGACTCTGCACTGAGGCTTCTGAAACAGTGAACCAAATGATCCTTCCTTCTCATGCAGTGACAAACTTGGGTGTCAAGTTTCCGAACACATATTGAAGTTACTCCTCATGGCTTCCGGCAGAGAAGCTGTTTGAAAGACAGCTTGGCCCTTCTCCTCAGCTTGGGGCCCCGGCAGCCTGATAGCTACTCTCTCTCCAGGCATTGACACCTACACAGCTCCTGCTGGTCTTTCCTCAATGCACCTGGAAAGCTTCCCAGAGGGACGTGATTAGGGCTAGTAGAGGGTTACCTCTCCCACCTGTCAGGCACAAATCAACTCATGCGACCCCAGAGGCAGGTGCTCTAGTGGTCTTTGCTTAAGGGAAATAAAGGCTCAGAGAGGTGAGCAAGTTGACCAGCACTGTTCGGCTGCTTGGTGGCAATGACCTGAGTCAGGGAAGAGGAGCGGTGGGGAGCATCTCAGCCGCCATTTGCGGCGACAGTGATACACACACCTGTAACCCCGGCACTCAGGAGGGGAAGGAAGGAAGGGAGGAGGGTCTGGAGATCATGAGTTTGAGGCCAGGTTTGGCCACATGGTGAGGCTATTCCTAGAAAAGAGAATTTACAGATTAATCCAAATGAATTCATTACTTAATCACATTTCCCATTTGTCCTCCTTCTAATGCCTGGGTTCCAGGAGGTCAATTTTTTTGCCTTTTTTTTTCTTTATTAACTGCTGAATCTCAAATATCTAGAACAGTAGGAGCACACAGAAACGCATAATAAATATTTATTGAATAAATGAAACATCTTTTCTTTGAGAAAGATTTTTCTTCTGTTCCCTTCTGGGTGTCTTTCTCACACACATCACTTTTTAGAAATTTTGGTCTGTGAGTTGTTGGATCTTCCCACAATCCTTTGATGTCTGGGTGGGTTTCCATCAAAAATACTTCCCCTTCCGCAGAGGAAAGCGTAGTTCTAGTATGAAGTCTGTGTTCATGGGTATTTTTCCTGGAGACAACTACAGTTCTTGGCAATCAGTTGCTTCTGATGGTAACTTAGACCTTCAGACGAGATCTTGAGGTGTGCTTCAAGTCTTTCAGTTGGATGTCCATTGGGAATGTCTGCTTCTGTTTGCTGCAATCTTTCACCTCCCCACTTCCGCCCTAGGCCGTGTAATTCTAGTGCAACACCAGTTTAGAGTGGAGGAAAATGGAAGCTCCGAGTGAGCAGTGAACTGCTCCCAGTCACGTAGCAGGCTGAGTTAAGCTTTCGTTGGCTTCCCGATCCTGTATGCTTTCTCTTACATCCTTACACTGTGTCCCCTTGCAGGAGTGCCCTGTTTGGCTAGGAATGAAAACTGATGCCGCTAGTCCAGGGGCTGTGAGTCTGGGGTGAAGGGACAGAAGAGATGAGCTGAGTGGAGACAAGTACCTCTCTTTGTTCTCTTCTCAAATAGCCATGGCGCTCATTGGTGACCCCTTCAAATGACGGTGTTTTCAGGAAATGAGAGGGGAACAGGTCTCTCTCCCACCCCCTTTATAATTAGTTGTCAAAAAATTTTAGATGGAAGGGGGGATGCTCAGACCCTGATGAGATGATACAGCAAAGATTTCATTTCATCTTGAATTTGACATTAAACTTTAATAGTCTCAAGGACAAGAAGCCAAGAGATATCAGATGTAATGCGATAAAGCAAAGTTTCTCTGACAGCAAATTTGATCACAAATGGGCTCCAAGATTGCTTCTTTGATATAAATGAAACATAATTCATCTTCCAGAGCCCCGAACGGGCTTTCAGAGTGGGGACAAAGCTGGCATCTCTCTTGCCTGGCGCTGACAAGTGGCAGCCCAGGGAGGAGGTATGGGCTAGGTGGGACCCTGCTGGGGCAGCAGCCACTGTGTCTGGGAGGAGATGGGATGAACAGGCACCAGAGGCAGAGAGCATCCGGGACTGCAGCCTGTAGCCAGGAGACCTCTCCTGCTCCGAGTCAAGTCCAGACCAGCATGGTGCTAAGGTAGGGGTGCTGTGCGAGCCCTCGCTTTCTAGACCCCATTAGCTTCCTGTTCATCCCTGTTCATTTTAGTAATCTCACGAATGCCATTGGGATACTCAGCACCTTCCAGTGAGATGCCGGCCCTGGGGGACTGTCTTTCAAAGGAATTAGCTGGGCCTGAGGTCAAGGCCTCTGTCACAGGCTTGGTTTCTCTGCCCCCAGCCTTCGTTCTCCCAACCCCTTCTGCCAGTAAATGCGTTAGGACTGGTGTCACAAGCCCTTTTGTGACCGACCTTCTCCAACCCTGCCTTTCCTTTCATCCTCTCTCCAAGTATCCCCATGTGGACTCAGCAGGAGGAGTACAGACCACACCTTCTAGGTGTTTCTGTCTGTCTAGGGAAGCCCTTCTCCCCTTGGCCAGGCATTACTCACTCCACTCCAACCTCAATGGCGATGTCTTCTGAGCAGCCCCCCTCCCCTGTTCTGCCCAAAGACAGCTGTCCTCTGTATTCCCGGACCCTTGGATGACTCAGAATCTGTCTGCCCATCTTATTGCTGTCCCTACTTGTGTCTTGCATCTTATTTCTCAGGCCCTACTTGTGTCTTGCATCTTATTTCTCAGGCAACGTCTAGCGATCTTTGTCTCCTCCTGGGCATGTCATGCCTGGCATGGAGCAGGTACCGGAGAGGCTGGACTAGACAAGGTTCCGCCTCCTGGGATGGAGCCCTTCAGTTTAGGAGATGGGTTCTCCCTAGGACTTAGAGGATTCACTCCCATGTGCTCTGCCTCTCTGTCCCAGATGCTAGAGGAGAGCTCACACTGAGGGGCTCTATCCAAATTCTCCTGAGTTTGTGAATTTGGAATTGAAAAACTGAAACCAGTGTCAAAATAGACTTGGTTTATTTATCAAACATCTTTATCTTACCTGAAGACAGCCTGATGCCCGAGGGGAGTAAGGGTCCATCACTGCTCAGGACAACAAAGGATGTTTTCTGGGAGCTGTGTTGAGTATAGCATGTGTGGGAGATGAGCTGAGTTCGACCTGGGAAGAAAATCAGAGAAGGGAAGCAAAGTCAGGCAAACCGATGTAAGAAGCTGATTTTGAGAGTTCTGAGTCGTGTCAAATGTAGTTTATCTGTTTTCTGTTGTTGACGGTTACACCCAGAGCCTATGTGTGCTATAAACTGTTCTACCACTGAGCTATCTCCAAGTCCTTGGGTTTTGAGACAGTGTCTTGCTACATAGCTTAAGCTGGCCTTGAACTTGCTATGAAGCTCAGGCTGACTTTGACCTCATGAGCAGTCTGTCTCCCAGGTGCTTGTACCAGGTATATGCCACCATGCCTACTACCTGAATTGTGTATTTAGTGCTTGTGTTCATAAACCAACTGTGATGTATGTGTGTCTGTAAGTGTATGCAATATGACTCAGCCTTATGAAGGCATGGTGAGCTGGTTCACAGCACAATGTGGATGGACCTTGAGAACACTATGAAAAGTGAAGAAGTCAAGCACAAAGTTCATACAATTGTATGGTGATGCCTAGAGTAAGTAAACCCACAAAGACAGACAGTGACTGACAATTGCCAAGGACTGGGAGGAAGGAGGAGTCGGGGGAGATAACTTGAGTGGATATGGAATTTCCTCGTGCTGCTGCTGAAAATGTTTTGAACTAGACTGAGGAGGTGGTTGGGCAACATTGTAAATGTGCTAAATATCACTGAATTCTTCATTTGAAATGATTGATTTCAGCATATGTGAATCTTACCATAATAAAATAGAAACCAACACTCACGCAAACAGAACGGGGCATCTATGTAGAATGAATCACGCATCTTCTCGCCATCCTGAGTTCCCAGGAAGCTGTCCCCATAGCTGTGTGTGTCCAGCAGGGCTCCCACTCTGTCCCTCACACAGGGACAGTAGGAGGTGATGGTTCATGTGGATGGAGCTATGTGGGACCGTCTGAGAGAAAAGGATGTAGAAGCACAGGCCTCGCTTCCTCATCTCTGTCTGCTGCCAGCCGAGTCATAACAGAACTCATTGCACTCCCATCGAGAGAACCAACCACTGAGCATTAAGACCTGGTGGGTGGACAGAGGGTCTCCCCTCTGTGACATCAGTCTCAGCCCCACTGACCTTCTTGTTTCCCAACTCAGTTGCTGTTGTCAGCA